TTCTCCAAGCAGATCTCCCTACAGTGGCCTTGTGACTATCACCAACGACCCGTGGTGCCTGAGTCTCCAAGTGTTGGACCAGACACGAACAAATGCTTACACCCCAGCGGACTTCTTCTCTGCATACACAGGTAAATTGGGGAGGGGGAGGGCCCAGATATATGTACCACTTTAATGGGAAAGAAGGAGAGTCTTGTTTTTATTTTTGTTCTGGTATTTTTTTGTCTTTATTTTTGTTATGTTTTTGATTTTATAATATCGATGGTCGCCTGATGAAATCGTGATTTCCGCATGAAGCAAAATTTTACCAGAGAGGGATCATTACAAGGTCCATGGCGTGTCCTTTTCTTTTATGACAGTGAGATTCCCACTTAGCCTGGCTGATGATGTCAGGCTCAAAACTCACGCACAGTTCACGTCGAACTTTTTGGGCTTATAGATCGACATGTTCATTTCATTTAGCACATATTTGAGTAGTCTGACACACAAGGCAGATTGTCCCAGACCTGTGCTGTGCAGGCTGTTTCGTTAAACCGCTGAAGCTCCGACAGATTACAAAATCAGCGATCAAGATGCAGTTTTCTTGAGCTTTGCTGGCAATGGTGGAAGGGGGCCTTCAGAATCATGTCCAGAGACCTGGACAGAAACTCCTTGGCTTGCTCACCCCTTGTGGATTGCTTTGTTTCGTTTAGTTTTAGTAGAGGTTTTACGGCGCTCGCAACTGCATAAGGTCATGTGAGCGCCAAGGGGTGGATGTCAACAGAGAAAACTTTACAGGGAATCAAGCTTACTCTGTTCACATCTCTAGCTTCAACAGCAGAAAGTCTGCTTCGACTATCAAGGCACCCCGGAAATAGAGGGCCACAAGAGTGTGACAAACATACAAAAGAGGTAGATGAAAAATGACGATAGTAAGGATTAGGAAAAAAAAGCAGCAGTTCCCTGTTGCAGTTCAGGCACAGTTATGAGGATGATATTCAGTCCATTTACCATTTTCCTGTGTCCAAGATCAAGTTAACGTCCTCCCTTTGGGAATGGTCCAAAATCGATAAGAGTAGGCTTCGGCCGCTACCCGGGCAAAATTTCAAAATTTCCTTCCAACTGAAAATGTTTAATGTGTCGTAAG